CCCCCCCCCCCGCCGCCGCCTGCGCCGCCTCCGCCGTCTGCAGGCGGAAAATTCCTCTCCCACCTTCTGAGTACGAACCAAAGCGACCCCCGCCCCAGGGCATTTCCCCCGGGAAATCGTCGGCCTACCAGCTCTGCAATCGGCCGCGCAGAATTCAAGTTCGGATTCGGCTCTGATGGCCTGCCACGGAGACAGGGAATAGGAGTGGGACACGCACAGCCACACACTCCTCTCCAGAAGAGATGAAGAGATGCAAAGGGGGGGATCAAGGCAGACAGCTTGCGTTCCTCCCCCCCCGCCCCCACCCCCGAAAACGCCCCCCTTCTCAATCTAGGCAAATCCTACCCATTAGGCAGCATCCAGGGGCACCCCACTTCCTCCCTGAGCGCCGCCGGGCCACGGGAGTGCTCCTGACCTTCGCAGTCCTCGATTCCCCAAGCGGGGAGCCGCCCAGGACTGGTGGGGCTTCCCCTCCTCTCTCGGCGCCGGGCCGATCGCGCCCCCTTTCTTTACCTGCGCTCGGGCCTTGCCCGCGGTGGACGCCGCCTTCCGGTCTCCGCGGCCCTGCAGGGGAGAAGGGACGGGCACGGCCTCGGCCGCCCAGCGACCGGGAGCTGCCCGCGGAGCGGCTCCGCACGGCCTCCCAGCGAGGGGTAGCCGAGTCCAGACAGCGCGGTTCCCACGGCAGCCGCCGCGGCTTTTATCCTCTGCCCACTGAGACAAAAGAGCGTGACGAGAGGGCCGGCGCGGCCAATCAGCGGGGCGCGGGGGCGGGCTCCCGCGCGGTCTCCAGCCGGATGCAAATGCACGCCCGCGGCGGCGGCGGCGGCGGCGGCGGCGGCGGCGGGGGGCGGGGGGTGCCGGGGAGGGGGGCGCGTGAGGTGGGCCGCCGATCCGCCGGGTGTCAAGCGCAGCTGCATTGCCTCGACTGGAAGAGTTCGCGACTCTTCCCTTCTTCTGTCTCCCTCGGCTCAGCTCCGCGCCTCGGGGCCGGGTGCATTAAACACGGGATGGAAATCAAATCGACGAGAAAAGTAGTTCACCTTTGTATGGGGCGGGGGGAGGGAGAGACGAGCATTAGCGCTTTCTGGGTGCAAACCCGCTCGCCCAATTCTTTTACTGTGAAGAAGGTGGTAGTGCGTCCATTGAACAGTGAAGGTCCTCAGGCATCCAGGCGCTTAACCAGTACTCACCGAAGGATGGGTGCAAGGCTGGCTGCATGAGAATCATTTTGGGGCGCTTGTTAGATAGGCAGACTCCTGGGGCCCGAATCGGGGGGATTCTCATTGCCTAGGACTAGAGCTGGGCGTGGTTTTGCGCCTCGTATTTTTAACCAGCGCTGCAGTTAATTCTGAGAGGATGCAGGGAGGATGGTGAATGAGTAAATGGACCTGCCCTCAGTGTATCTGTTCATAGCATTATCTGTGGTGAAACGCAGCTCGGGAGCAGATGCCCCTACCTGGGGGGGTCCGTGGTCTTGCCGAAATTGTATGCAAAGATTCTGGAGTCCGTAGGAAACTGAATCACGGCCACCCAAATATACCAAGTCCTCATCCCTGGAACCTGTAAATGGTACCTTGTAAAGTGAAAGAGTCTTTGCACTGGTGGTTAGATTAAGGATTTTGAGGTGGGGAGATTATCCTGGAGTATCTGGGTGGGCCCTAAATGCAATCACATGCGCTCCTGAGAGAGAAGAAGAGGGAGAGCTGACGCACACTGAAGAGGAGAAGGTGACATGAAGACAGAGGCAGGGAGTGGAGTGGTGTGGCCACAAGCCCAGGAATGCTGGCAACGACCGGAAACGGAGAGGCCAAGTTGGGAGCACTGCCCTGCCCACTCCTTGCATTCGCCTGAAGAAACTGATGTTGAACTTCCGGTCTCCAGAACTATGAGAGTATAAATTTTTCTTGTTTTAAGCCGCTGAGTTTGTGGTAATTTGTTATGGCAGCTGAATCCACAGCTTTGTCGATTTTTAGAGGGGCCTGTGGTCCAGTAATGGTTAAAAACCCCTCTCTTCCAATCATTCTTCATTAATATCTTGCTCCTTCGGGGCGCCTGGGTGGCTCAGATGGTTAAGCGTCTGCCTTCGGCTCAGGTCATGATCCCAGGGTCCTGGGATCGAGTCCCGCATCGGGCTCCCTGCTCCTTGGGAGCCTGCTTCTCCCTCTGCCTCTCTCTCTCTCTCTCTCTCCTCCTCTCTCTCTCTGTCTCTCATGAATAAATAAATAAAATCTTTTTTTTAAAGATTTTATTTATTTATTTGAGAGAGAGAGAATGAGAGATAGAGAGCACGAGAGGGAAGAGGGTCAGAGGGAGAAGC